TTGCAGAGCATATTTACAATGAAATCATAGGCACTCTCCTCATTATACCACTACTCTACTATACCTCTACTGGTGTTCACTGGGGTAAGCTCCAGTGTGTACAAGAGGAAATCTGAAACTTCTGTAGTCTCGGCTTTACTTCAAAATAAAGTCATGGAGCTGTACAGCAGGGAAACCAGATCCTTCAGTCCAACTCATCCATGCTGACCAGATATCCTAAATGAATCTAGTCCTTTTTGCCAGCATTTGGCCCATATCCCTCTAAACCTTCCTATTCATTATAGACTTGACAATGGAAGGGCGGTGATGTCCCTACCTCTTGGTTCTGAACCTTTGGATTCAAGGTCTGGGGAGGTGATGGCCTAGTGGTATTATCACTGGACTATTAATCCAGAGACCCAGATAACGTTCTGGGGACTCAGATTCAAATCCCACCAAGGCAGATGGTGTAATTTGAATTCAATAAATATCTAGAATTAAGAGTCTAATGATGACTGTGAATCCATTGCTGATTGTTAGGGGAAAAACCCAACTGGTTCACTAATGCCCTTTTAGGGAAGGAAACTGCCATCCTTACCTGGTCTGGCCTACATGTGACTCCAGATCCACAGCAATGTGGTTGACTCTTAACTGCCCTCTGGGATGGGCAATAAATGCTGCCTAGCCAGTGATAGCCTATCTTGTGAATGAATAAAAAAAAGTCCCACCTGTCCTGAAAGTGTGTCATGGCATGTCCAAACAGGTTGATGAAAAGTAAAATTTAAAAAAATGTGGAATTCACTCATGAGCACTTAGCTGAGGGCCTAGGACTGCTCAAAGACTTTGTCTTCCATTCTATTGGCTAAGCATTGCTGCAGTACAATGGTGCAAGGTTCTTCAGTGAGCAGAGTTCCATTTTAACTGGCCTAACAAGAGGGAACAGCATTCCTCAGGTCTGGTTACTGAGTATCACTCTCAGCAACCACCGAGCTCAGGCCATTATTGGAGGACAATGTGGCACAGATGAAAGCCATTGGCTCCACGTTGCCAACACCAGACCTTTGAAACAGGTCTCCATTTAGTCCCATCCATGTTCCTCCCCAAAGCCAAAATTCTGAAGAAGGGTCGTCGGATCTGAAACGTTAACTCTGATTTTTACTTCACAGATGCTGCCAGACCTGCTGAACTTTTCCAGCAACTTGTGTTTTTGTCCCTTGTCAAGTATTTATTGTTTTTGCAAGTTGCTACTTAATCTGTTTTCACCACCTTTCCAGGCGATGTATTAAAAATTTTGCATTGAAAATTACTCCTATCTCTAATCTGTTCTTCTGCCAATTATTTTAATTATATCCTCTGGTTGTCAACACAGTACCAATTGATCCAGTTTCTGTTCATTTACTGTATCAATATCTCTCATAATTTTGAACACCTCTATTAAATCTCCCCCTTAACCTTAACCATTGTAGCTTTTCCAATAACTGAAGCCCCATATCCAATATTGCTACAACTGCAGAATTGTATTCCAAGAATATATTTAAAAAAAACTTAAAAGGGTTTTGTTTTCTACCATGTTGCTTTCACTGGTGTTTGGGAGGTTAATCTTCCAATTTTGGAACATTCCAGGGCAATCTGGGAAGATGGCAGCCCTACGCACTGGGTTAGAAATTGGTAATTTGTGCCGACATTTTCTAGGGGGAAAATCAAGAACAGAACATATCAAATTTGGTGGGAAGAATATATGTCATGTGACCCAAGGTCACCCAAATTAAGTCAGGTCCACCGTTATTGTGTTGCATGTGTCTCAGGTTAATTAGTTCTTAGGAACTCTCTGGGAAATTGGACTGCTCTGCTAAGGTATTTCCCCTGTAGATGTGGCCTAGCAACTGGCCATCACTAAAATGGTGCAAAAAAAAATTTCTTAGCAGCTCAACTGGTAGTCAGGAAATGCAGGGCTGAACTCCCGAATGCCACAATTATCCAACGCAATCATATTTCATTTCCCATGTCCAGCATCACCAGTCAATTTCAGTGCTAAAGGTCTGGGTTTTCATTTTTTGGGAATGGGAGCCTGAAGCTGGGTCTGCTTCCAGATCCCAGTCTGCTCTCGGGGGCGAGGGGAAGGGTGGGAGAGGGAGTGGGAAAGCATTCACTTGGTAAAATTTTGACTGGGGCATCCCTTTAATTGACAGGGAGATAGGTTGCTTGTCCAGTTGTGGGGAGTGAGTGGGTTGTAGAAGGTACAGAGTCAATCAGAGAGAGGCCTAACTGCTTGAGAGAACCAGCAGGCTGTAATAAGAGTGAGAAGGCACTTTAAAGTGTAGTCTCACCTACGTTTATCCAAAAATATCAACTGAAAAACAGAAAGAAATAGCTAGGCCACTTCATGGAAGGTAAGGCCCTGCCAACTGCAGTCTCTCTCTCCCACCTCCCCCAGAGGGGCTGCTTCTCCTGACCCCCATCATTGTGCAAAACTGGAGGCTGCCTGGAGAATTTCACCTGGTTTCCCATAGTGAGGTTCTTAATGAACCTGACCAGCTACTGTAGGAGTGGACAGCACTGCCAGCCCTTGAACCCAGTTTGGCCAAATTAGTCCAATTCCAGGACTGGAATCCGCCTCCTTTGCTGTCCACACTGACAAATACTTATGCAACTTTACTTAAAGTTGTAATTACATTTGTATACGCCACCCTCATGGTTTTCTTCTCTCACCAGCACCAACTCCCCATCTCACCAAATCCCTTAGGGTTCCTGCCAATGAGGCCAGAGGGTGCAGAAATTTATCCCTTGGAATTCGACGACATCCCTCTGACAGCATGAAAGCTGCCACCAACTCACTCAAAGTGTTTGACTGGGGTCCGGAGAACAATTCTAAGGTGAGACCTGGGTTGCTTTGTGTGGGTTTGCACTGTCTGTGTGCTATTGGTAATGCACTCAACAACCAACCTGAGGGCTTCTTAGGAATCCATCATTAAGTTGCATCAAAGGAGATCACATGGAGCAATTAGGGGAAAGAATGCTTAGGGGTATTATTGCTAGACATTAAACAGGGGTCCTAGGTAATGTTTCGGAGACCTGGGTTCAAATCCTGCCATGGCAGATGGTGGAATTTGAATTCAATAAAAATGTGGAATTAACAACCTAATGATGAGCATGAAACCAATGTTTGGGGGGAAAAAACCCATCTCGTTCACTAACGTCCTGTTGGGAAGGAAACTGCTGTCCTTACTTGTTGTCCTGGCCTCGATGTGACTCCAGACCCACAAGAATGTGATTGACTCTTAACTGCTGTCTGGGCAATGACTGCTGGCCTAGCCAGCAATATCTACATCCTGTAATTGAATTTTTTAAAAAGCCCTGATTTTGATCCTGTTGCATGGCCTAAATGGGCATTCTCACTTGATATATGGATGCTGCATTAATACGAGCTACCAGTCAGTGTGTTTATTGAAGCATAAGGTGATGTATGCCCATCTCTGTTGACCCCAATCAGCCAGGAGATCACTCAGTGGAGATCCTGAAGCACAGGCAACAATCAAACTGCGAGGACCATACAGTGTAAATATAAATGGGTTGGTATTAGACACTTTAGAAAAAGCCCCATCAACAATGTGCCAACAACATGTAATAACAAAACGTTCAAAGAGATTTAAATTGGCTGTCCTTTCAATATTCTACACAAGCCATACTGATAAAGGAAAGAAACACTCTAATGTAGTGCTTTCACAATCACTAGGATGTATGTACTTGCTTTATAGCCAGTGAAGTGCTATTTAAAGTGTAGACACTGTTGTAATGTAGACAATGTGGTAGCCAAATGCACTCACAGTAAATTCCCAGAAATGTGATAATGACCAGTTAATGTGTTTCTGTGATATTGATTGAGGGATAAATATTGGCCAGGTGACTATGGATAGTCCTGTTCTTCTTAAAGCAGTGCCAAGGGATCTTTTTACATCTAAGCAGATTTAAGGTCTCATCCTAAAGATGGCCCCTCCAACAACGCAACTGTCCCTTCATATTGCACTGGAGTGTCAAACTTGGTTTTTATTTTCAAGCCCTACAGTGGGACTTGAACCTAGAATCTCTGGCTTAGACACAAAAACACAGCCAACTGGGCTGAACTAATACTCTTATTAGCGATCTAATGGCAATTTATGGCTGTGTTATAGATTGCCGTGGGCTCTAAACTTACTGCCTTCGTAAATGGATCAATAATCCATGCTGTACGCTGATAATAAATAGGAGTGTCGCTTTATTCAGCTCCTATTTATTGCAAGCGAATCTACTTAAATAATACATGAAATAATGACCAATGGTAACTAGAGTGTTACAACATTGAGCAGGCAGCACAACATGGGGCGTGAGCTGTCAATCCACCCTCATGGCCAGTGGAACAAATGGAAGAAAATACAGAGGGCGGGACATGATCCTTGAATAATCGTTTCAAAACTAGGGGCAGGGACTTTCACTTTGGCTTGCTTGTGTTGAAATCATAGAATGTAAAGTTAGTAACACAAACTTCAATCCACTTCAAGCAGTTGTAGCAATGGAGAAAGGAATCCTGGGTCAGTAAGGATAAGCTTTTGCTAACATCGCTCAGTAAGGTTCCAACTCATTTAATTTGGGCTGTTCAATTACACATGTAGCTTTGTAGCTGGTTCTGTAGTTATATCATAGGGCAGTGACTTCCCTGTGACAACAAGTGGGCTTATCTTATCTTCCATTGGTCTAGTGGGACTGTCCCTGTTAATCCAGTGACCAAGATAATGTTCTGGGTTTGAATCCTGCCACAGCAGATGGTGGAATTTGAATTCAATAGAAATCTGGAACTAAAAGTCTAATGGTGACCATGAATTGATTGTTGGGAGAAAAGACCCATCTGGTTCAATAATGCCCTTTAGGGAAGGAAACTGCCATATTTACCTGGTCTGGCCTACATGTGACTCCAGACCCACAGCAATGTGGTTGACTCTTAACTGCCCTCTGGGTAATTAGGAATGGGCAATAAATGCTGCCTGGCCAGTGACACCCTCATCCCATGAATGAATAAAAAAAAAATCATAGGGTCAGGGATGGAGTGGTTACTGTTGACTGACTCGAAGCCATTGAAAGATTACTATCAATTGAATATTTGTTTTTTTCTTGATAAAGTGGATCAGGTATGATGGCTACCTTTGATTCAAACTCAAAGTGAAAACTTCCAGTCCATCTGATCACGTTCTTTCTTCCCTCAATCACACATCTCAAAACAACAGTATTGATTCACCCCTGATTAAATGAAGATGGTTTCTGTTTATATGTTTTAAGTTTCAGGCATTCTGGAAAGGTATTTATTTCCAAATTTTTGGCATATTTGGAGTTCCAGTCTCTCTCGAACACCGCCTTTAGCTCATCGAGAACTGTGGCCTTGCTGGGCCATCTCCTGCTCTGTTTGTGTTCAATGACCAGGCTCACACCTGTGTTTTCCACAAAGTCATCCCCAACCCAGTCAGAGGTACCTGAAAAGCAACACAAGAGATATCTCAGTCAATAATCCCATTCACCAATCTGGGCCACATCCAGTATTTTGGACTAAGATTAAAGCCACAAAGAAGACAGGGGAGTTGGGTACAACCTAAGCTTTATTTCCAGTGGGTTTATGCCATAATAGAAATTCACAATTTAAAACCAAAGCTATTTTTACACTGATCAGAAAGAAAAGGAGCTGCATTCAAATGGCACCTTTCACTACATAGGGACATCACAAAGTATTTACAACATTGGTAGTTTTAAGCACATTGGGTTGACTTCTGCAGTCTCTTCAATTGTAAAGAGTTTGTTCAGAGAATGGAGCCATGCAGATGCCGAACTGAAAGACCTTCCAACAACAATATTAAATCTCAGAATAAAGGGTTGCCCATTTAAGACCAAGATGGAGAGGAATTTCTTCACTGAGAGGGTAGTAAATCTGTTGAATTCTTTATTGTAGAGGGCTGTTCAGGCTGGGTGGTAAATACCATCAGAACTGAGATAGACATTTTAATCAGTAGTCAATGGTTATAGGGAAAGGTAGGAAAGTTGAGTTCAGGATTATCAGATCAGCTATAACATAATCTCATTAAATGGTGGAGAAGACTTAATGGGCTGAATGGCCTACTTCTGCTCCTACATCTTATGGATGTGAGGACATAATTAAACCACTTCTCCACAAAGAATAACTGAAAAATGTTCTCAAATTAAAAACCAAGTTAGCATGTAGACATCGTATCTATACTTAGGAGGCACATTAAATTGTTGATAGGATCAAAACACGCAAAGACACACAGACATTTTCAATATATGATTTTCCAAAATTGTCTAAATTCCGGAGCCTTCCCAGTAGATTAGAAGTTACTAAATGTATCTCTGCTACTGAAGAAAGGGTACGAGAGAGGAAACAGGTCACTACAGGTCAGTAAGCCTGTCATCAGTCTTTGAGAAAATGCTGGAATTTATTATTAAGGATGTGGTCATAAGCAATCTAGGAAATCATAAATTATCAGGCAGAGTCAACCTGGTTTTCCGAAAGAACAATCATGTTTTATCAATACATTAAAAACTTTGGAGGATTTAACTGCCAAGATGTCTTAAGGGGAATCTGTAGATGCTTTGCATTTTCAAAAACCATTTGAAAATGTGGCATTAGAAAAGTTATAGGGCAACATAAAGTGGTCATGTAGTGGGTAGTTAAAAGCAGAAAGAATAGAGGATTGGAAAAAGGACAGAAAGTAGGAATAAACAGGTCTTGTTTTGCTTAGATTGTAAACTGCTAATAATGAGGTTCCATACATATCAGTGCTGGGTTCTCAGCTATTTACCATCTATAACAATGAAGAGAAAGTATTGGGATGTATCTGAGTTTCTTGACTGTTTAAAGTTAAAAATGAAAAGGTTGTGAAAAGATGGTGACGGTTGTGAAAAGATGGTGACAGTTGAGAAAAATTGTCTGGGACACAGTCATATTCATGGAATCATACTTTACAGACTATGTCAGGCTTTTTGCTTGACTATACCATGGGGCTGATCTCCCAGTTTTGGCTCTACCCTGAGTTTGTTAAATACAACTCGCCTTACCTGTTTGCTCCTTCCTACCTTACTAAATATGCCAAACGAGCTGGGTGTTGAGAAGACTTGGATGGAAACCTGAGCAGGGACTTGGTCGGATTCAGCTCACCATTTGCTCTGAACAACCTCATACTGCCCACAACCAACCTGAATCCCAGAGCATGATCCACAGCGACAGCCACAACCACACCTCATCCACAGACATGAGCACCTGACTTCTGCCAAATCCTCAGGACTATCATGGCACCTTTCTGATATACTGACAGTGCACTCTGGGTGATACAGTGAGGGAACTCGCTATGGCTCGTGGCAAAGAAAATCTCCAAAAAATCTCAACAGAACACTGACTCGGCCAAAAAGGTGTAAGAATCAGCCCTACATTTTTAAAAATGGTGTGAAGTTGTTACATATTGGTATTCAGAGGAATTCAGTTGACCTTGTATACAAAACACAGGATAATTAATAGCAGGTACAGCAAGCAATTTGGAAGGCAAATAGTATATTCACCTTTAATCCAATGTTCTGATTAAACTATTTCTTTCCCTATAGATGAATCCAGATCGGAGTATTTACAGCATCTGCAGTATTCTACTTCTTTTACTTGAAGGGAATTTGGGGTTAAGAAGGTTTTGTTTTAATTCGACTAGACTCCAATGAGCCCTTACCAGGAGTACCGTACACAGTTTTGGAATGAGTATAAAAGAAAGAATACATGTGTCTCAGTTGCATTGTAACGTATATTCACCATGTCAGTTCCTGAGGTGAGACAGATGCCCTGGGGTGAGTAGCTGAATAAATTGGGCCTAGATTCTCTGGAGCTTAGCAGAAGCTGCAGCTTAGAGGGTAGAGCTTCTCTGGAGCTTAGAGTGATGGTCTTATTGAAATATGTAAAGTCAAGTAAAAGCCAGATAGAATAAATATTGAGTCTGTGGAATGGATTTTCCAGAGAGGTAAGAAATTCCCTCGATCGGAGAGCCAACTGCTTGGCAGTACCACCCACAGAGGTGGCCACCGCTGTGGCTACAGGAAGAAGGAGAAAGTTATTGGAAATGCTATTGAAAAGAAGTTTGTTTAAGTAAAGTGCTGCGGACAAACATTGGTGATTGGTTGGGGAGGCGGGTGGGTGGATGCTGCACTGTCATGTGACAGTGCTGTAACCATGAGGCCATTAAAGGACACCCCTCTACCCACCCTTTAATCTCTGGGAACCTGGTGGGAGACCACCACGGTATAGCTGGTGGACTCTTAATCTGATGGCAACCACTTTGGATTGATGCCAGTGAAATTCTGGGGGTAGGAGCTGACTGCTCATTGGGCATTGGATTGGTAAAATTGGCTGTCCAGGAGAGAAAGCCCCACCATTCCCACCATGGATAATATCCCATGGTGAAAGGAAGACATCATGCTTCCCTCCTGACGCCTTCCACTTCCCATCCAACAGTACATTTCCAGAATTAAAACACATTTCAGAAACACATTTCTGAATTTTCTCTGGTTGAAAGTCTAGCATGAGGTGGATAGTCTCGGAGAACTGAGTTGTCCATTTCGGACTAAAATGAGGAGAAATTTCTTCACTCAGAGGTTTGTGAAAATTTGGAATTTTCTTTCGCAGATGGTTGTGGATGGTCCAGTCAACGACCAATAGAGTTTTGGACTCTAAAGGAAATGAGAGAGATTGGGATCAAGCCGGAAAGTGGAGTTGAGGTTAAGGATTATCCAACGTCTGATTAAACGGCAGACAAGGCTTGAGTACTCCTTCTCATATCCTGAAGGGGTTTATCACACTTCGGCAGATGCTTTGTGAGTGTCATAAATCTTAAGTGACAGGTAACTGACCACAGGTTCTGCACTCTGAGAACGCAATATGTCTGATTAAGTGTAGGCCCATGTTTCATAGAAGACTAATCATCAGCTGAATGCAACAATAAATCAGTAAACTGACTTCACTGCAGAGAAAACTAAACAATCTCTGGAGAGAAGGAATTTCAGTGTGCTATTTGCTTTAAATGCCTTCAACCACTGGAAGGTTGGAGATTTTCTCTTCCTGAATCAATGTCGATAAATTCTTGGTGAAGACCTGGTTTTTGATTGCAAATTTGGATCAAGAATCCGGACAATTCCACATCCAAATAGGAGATTTGTACCAAAAACCTCTCTTGGGCAGGAGTCAGTCATAACGTTAGCAAATTCAAGAAGGACTCTGCTGAGATGACCTACAGCTAGCAGCTTCTGATAGCGGGGGATGGCATTAGCATCTGTCCATTCATTATCCACAGTATGGGAGAAGGTGCACCTGGAGGGGAAGACTTTCCGCACTGTACTAACTGGCTAATGTGGGGTTTACCAAGATATCCAGACCAAGATCATGAGCTGAAAGACCCTGGAAATGCTGTAAGGACATGTTCAAGTTGGCACTTCTATAAATTTCATTATCTGGAGACTACACATCTGGATGACAGAGACCCAGCAGAACTCCCTTTCTAATCAGCTCTCCATACCATATTTCCTGTCCCCCAAACAGGCACTCGGGATGTATTAGGGCTATAATTAATGATCTGACCCCACTTTCTGGCTCAGGATCCTTTTATGCTCCAAACAGGAAACTTTATGCATGGATAAAGTTTCATGCATAAACCTATGGATGAAAGGAAGCAAATACAAAGCCATTTTGGCTCACTGTAATTCTGCATATTAGGAGTATGCATAGGGCTATGGAATGTTATTAGTTCTATACAATGGATTGAATGGGAATTACCCCAGTTGGCTGAAATTCTGCAGAACAGAAAACAATTTTGCAATTGAAAATGTGTATAATGGCAATGGAAGGGAAATTGTTTAGTTGATCAGAGCTACGGCAGGGTCCAGAACATGTCAAGCACTTTATAAACTAACATATCACATCATTGAGCTAGTAATCTAAAAGATAACTTTTAAATTCAATAAATTACATAAATCTGAAACAAAAGTAAAAGTAAAGTGGCATCAGTAACAGTGACCACAAAGACCACCAGATTGACTAAAAATACATTTAGTTCACTAATGTCCTTTAGGACAGGAAATTGGCCATCTTCATCTGATTTGGCCTAGACGTGACTCCAGAACTCCTGCCAAGTAACTGATGCTTAACAGGCCCCTTGAAATTGCCTACTGACTCCCAGAATTACACTTTCTCCTTTGTCAGCACCTTTGTCATGATTTTAGATGCTAAAATATTGTGCTAATAAATGCTGGTTTTGCCAGTAACACCCACATCCAACACATGTTTTACTCTGCTGTGCACGATACAGAGTGTACCGGGAATTATTTTTGAAAATGACGGCTGAAGCCAGAAGGGCTTCTAGTCCATAAAACTTTAATCATTGCAATCACTCCCTGTTTTAAAAAAAAGCCTTTGGTGAAATGGCACTTCAAACCC